TATTACTAGCCGAAGTAATTTATACTGAATATATGCAAAACCAAGCCTGTAATTCACTTTCAATAGTTTTTCATGCCATGAATAAGGAGTCTTTACCAATTACCAATTCAAAATACCATGATGTGGTATTCATAGAAAATCGAAATGAAATTGCACAACTGTTTGGGGAAGAATTTGCTTCTGCCATTTCTGTTTTTCTTTCCAAGAAGCACAACACAGATACTGAGAAATCAACAAATAATCAGATTTCCTGTCAGTGTAAGATAGGTAGCATTCATTGCTTTAATTGTGTTTGTGCAAAGCAGGGTCAAAAATGCTCGTCCTCATGTCTTTGTAAAGGAGATTGTGAACGAACCAAATATGGATTAAACTCAAGCTATCAATAAACTAAAATAACCTGTCTCAATACTATGCGGAATTTGCCTTAATAATTTTCTGAGCATAAGGGGCGGTTAGCTCAGCGGTAGAGCACCGGATTGCAAAGATATTTGCAGCAGACATCCGATGGTCACGTGTTCGATCCACGTACCACCCTTCCTTTTAGATATTGCACCTAACGGTAATTATTGATGCTTAGAGCTCGCTTAATGTGAGATTTCATTCCAAAATAAATCCTACCCATATATAACCAGCTTTGCCTAATTGTACACTAACTTTAATGAAATCCACCCTAGAACTTTTTTTCACCCGAGATTGTTGTCTGCCTGGATCTTTAGGCGAGTAAAGTGGGCGGACGTATCCAATAAGGATGCACCATCTCAGAAAGTGGACATTTAAATTCCAAGATTTTAACAATCATAATTAAAACGTTGGAAAAATCAACGATTATCAAGCAATCCAATTCGAGTGAAAAAAAAAGTGCAACAATAATAGTATGGACTGTTTCGACATTGATGCTTATCTGAAACGTATTGGTTTGAATTCACGTATCCATGTGGAAGAGGAATTTAAGTCAATTTCGTATGCATTGTTGCATGCCATTGTGTGGAATCATGCAACTCATATTCCATTCGAAAATCTGGCAACTATTTATCCAGATGAATATCGTATAGTTTCCGATTCAAATTCTAAAATCAAAGTATCTCTGGATCCAAATGATATTTTCAGGAAAATGGTGTTAAATGATCGTGGAGGTTTTTGTTTCGAACAGAATCTTCTATTGGCGAGAGCTTTGAGAGAATTTGGCTTTACTGTCAAACCCATTGGAGCCAGAGGTGTTAATCGCTTGGCAGAAGTAGATCCAATCTCTGGATTGCCAGTTGGTCCTTTCACTCACTTGGCTCTATTGGTTGATTGCCAAGATGGAAACACTTATTTGGTGGATAATGGTTTAGGATGGGGTGGTATGCCAAGATCTCCTCTCCCACTTGTCAATGGAAGTGAAAAGACAGAAAGTACTGGAGAAGTATTTCGATTGGTATTGGGAACTATTTCACAAAGCACAAAATTAAATTTTGACAAATGGGGTTGCTTTAGATTTCAAACAGGTGTCAATACAGATCATCAAGATATAAAAGATGGGAAAGTTGTTAGTGGACAGTGGTTTCTCCAATATAAAAACAAGGCAGAATCTGACTGGTGGGATATTATGCATT